AATGTTTCACTCAACATTTTCAACAGTAAGTTAATATTGATCGGCGTTTACACTTGAAAGAAGACGGCTATTGCAACACAAAGCTATAAAGCCACTCAACTATTTCCCGAAAACATATCACCTACTCTCTCGGATTTAGAGCAATCCACTGAATTCTTCACGTCTTCTGCACAACCGAAGTAAGTTCAATTTAAAACATGAAAATGTTCCTATGTTCTTACCAAAAGCGCAGCTCCATCTCTCTGCATGTAAACTACACACCACCCACAATTCCTCTATTCACTCTGACGAACGGCTAAGGCTAGGAACGTCAGCTTTAGAAACTCTCTATGGTGGCCACTTTGCATTATCAACGCTTTTGATAAAAGTTATCTTTGTGATACCCCACCCGCCGCAGCACCACAGTTTCTTTAGAAACTTACCCCGTCTATTCAATTGTTACCATGGTGATGAATAACAGTATAGTGAACTTGTAAAGACTTGCGATGAAACTTTCCCTAAGGAAATTTTCTCCTTTTCTTTCATTTCGCAGGACGATCGAAAGCAAGGGATGACAGCTTTTGTAGGGAAACGAAAAGCCGAATTCACGGACAATTAGTATCTGTTTTTTTCGGAAAGTCGTAGCCTGCGAGAACTTTGGATTGTTGTGTGGGAATGTTAAGGCAGGTGAAAGAATAGTGAAAGCTTATGTAAAATTGTGTGAACAAAAATACTTACCAAAAAGAAAAACTTAACTAGCGAAATTGATAGAAAAACATAAAATAAATAAAGTAAAATCATAGTCATTTTTCGTTCGTTCGCTCATCTGTTGAACGGATACTGTGGGGTATACATTGGGACTGGGGTGAGTATAGATTTAAGTTCTGGTCAGTTCGATGTGTTAATTAAGACTCGAGCCAGGAATGCTAAGTGACGCTGTAAATGACGGCTCTTCAGTAAACTTTCTGGAAAAACTAATCCAAGGCAAACCAAGTTTTTCAACTTGTTTCCTCACTGTTCACTTTTCTTTCGTCTGAATCAAATTCTTGGAAGAAAAGGATTTATTTGCTGTAAGGCACCTTGTAAAAACAAGCCTGAAAGGTCAATGTCTGTATGATTACTTTTTTTTCGTCCAGGTTTCCCAGCTAACTTCGACCTTTCGTGCTAGGCATGGTTTTTCTTAATAGTTTTCCGCCACATCAAATATGGCGTTCAAATTTTTTTGACTTTTCGTGAATTTTTTCCGAACTGCAAAGGGTTTTTTTCTTCTTCCACTGGAATGTTTGTATTCACGCGCGACGCAGGTGATTCTACCAACTAGCCAATCTTGTTTAGATCCTTGAACTTGACATTGAGATTGACGAGGCCAATTTTCTTAGCACTAGACCTTGACCCGCAAGGGAAACAAAACTCATTGTTTCTTTTGGAAGCAGTTAGTCGCTTAGTTTATCAACATTGCCAGGTGTCTGTAGTAGAATTGTCTGTAAGCGAAAGTAAACACCATTAGCAGGGTAGCTAGAGTACAAAAGGTGAGCAAAAAATTAGAGCATCGAAAGAAATATATATTTCTTAGCATATAGGCTTCGGTTATTAGATTAACTAACACGGGTGCAAAACAGGAACACACAAAAACATGTATGGTACAACAGATATACCAGCACACACTGTGACTCATAAATGTAGAAGTTAGAATGTGAGAAGGAATCCTATCAGTTTCATCACTGAAGAAAACTTTTAACTTTGAAATTACATCCTGTAGCTCTTTTTCACTGGGCGAATTTAGCTTTTCTGGTGGGAAAAAGTTGTTTTTTATCCTGAATACGACTAATTGATACTCATAAAAAACCGGGTAGAGAAGAAAAGAAATCCGGATAACCAAAAAAATCCGAATAATTTAGGTTTGCTTCTATTAAAGTTAAATGCCCCCATGCTTTACTCAATGTAAAGAAACGCTAACCCCAAGTCGTGATCAGTACTTCGTGCAAAGTTGATGCATAATTTATGTATGGTTTCTCGAGCTGTTTCTATTTATTTCTTTTAATTATTGTCTCAAGCTTCATTAAAATTGTATGAAAAGTTGATCTTAGAGTTTTTCAATAGAAAAATTCGAGAGGAGTGGAAGGAAACTGAAGGTGAGAATATACTGGTTTCAAGGAGTAACCAAGTCATTCAATTTGGAGAAATTGGTTAATTTAAACTTCAAAAGAAGATTGCTCTTCAACTTTGACAATAACATAAATCTTGAATAGTCAGCCGCTTCGACAAATACGTTTGAGTGAGAACTACATATACAAAAGACCTTTACTACCGCATAAACGTGAGAAGAAAAGTCGAGGAAAAGTAAGAAAAGGAAGGTGAGTGTGAGTGAGAAACTCGATGTATTTACTTACTATCGGGTGCGTAACTTGTGCAAGCCAGCGGACAAGTTTTAGTCCTTAGCAGGAAAGATAGTTTTATATAACTTGGTAGTTTAAAAAGCCCTCGCATTCTATCGCCAAGTCAGACGGCAAAATTGTAATTAACAAAACCCCAAGGTCACAAAAATATTTCTTGCATCAAAAAAGGGAAAAAGGCGACATTTGTCATCTGTTTTTCTTTCTTTCTTAAATTACAGGATGAGAGGGCATCTAGTTGGTTTCCATTTCTGTCCCGTTCTGTTGAGTGGTATTGCTTTGTATCTTGTGGCTTTCAGTTCGTCTGCTAGAACTGACTTGAGCAGGGACGAGGTTTTCGAGAGAACTGAAGGTAACATGTGAATGTTTTATACCTCCCGACATAGAGATTTTTTTTTCCGACGGGATGTGAATATTTCAAGTGTCATGGGCGAAAAGTCGGATCGGATGACACATTTTGGCTGTGTCATGATAAACTTTACATTCCCTCCCCGCCCCCAATAAGGCTCTGGAATAATCTTACGATCCTCTTCATTGGCAGACAATTTTCTATACTTCCCCTTTTATACTCTGCCACAACAGTTCCCCCCCATTAAAAAAAAATATGAGATTGCCTCAAAGTCGGGTAAAAACAGCAGAAACTTTCTACGCTCAACTCTCATAACTCCTAGGGCTACTTCATATTTACCTTTGTGCACTATCAAGAATCAAGATGACCTCTTAAGATAAGGTGAACTACAACACACAAACTGTATCATGAAAGTATCCAAAGTAAACTGTGTGATGATAAAATAAAACACGATTGTGTTTTTTTCTAGGATTTGAGCTAATTGGTCATATCACCAAGACATTATACACTGACGAAATAAACTGTGGATTCACATGCCTTCAAGATGAAAAATGCCTATCTTACAACAGCAAATCCCATCCTAATGATGCAAAGAAGGAATGTCAACTGAGTAACCAAACCGAAAAATCAAGTCCGGAAAACCTGAGGCGTAACCCACGTTCTACTTATTATGGAAGAGGTACTGTTGAGTAAGGTGCTTAAAATTATGGAAAAGCTAGTGAAGGTGGAGGGGGGGTATGAAGGGTCGGAGTATTTTGGTTGTCACAATAAAGTTTTCCTGATCCTTCCATAACGTTCCGAATTATTCTATCGATCATCCTCATTGGCCGCCAATTTTCTTTAGTCCCACCTTTAAACTCTGTTAGCGACGACTGATCCCCCCTCCGTTTCCTTTGAAAACCATGAGATGCCCCCTCCCACCCCCTCTTTCCAAGCGAAAAGTGGTGACCTATTTCTTACTTTTGGTCAGCGTATGTATAACATAGCATGTATAACCTTTCCTGAGAGAATATGAAGTTTAAAATCTCTTGCTTTTCCTTATAATGATAGGTTTTCCATTTCCTTAGTTTGAATTGAAAGATGCTACGGATCGTACAAAGATTTCCAAAATCATGAGCTATCTAATAATTATGCAAAAGTAACAACCTATGGAATAAGACCTCTGTGGCGTGTTTTGTTTCTTACTTTGATCTTCTCATCGTTCCAAATGATTATTCTTCCCTTTTCCTATGCAGATAAACGAGGTTGGGATTCTGCTCATCCGGCCTTCTCCTGTAAGAAAATTCTGGACTCTGGACACTCCAAAGGAGACGGGGAGTATTGGATCGACCCTGAGAAGAGTGGAAACCCTTTGAAGGTCTATTGTGACAAGTCAAGATACGGTGGTAAGAGAATGGATTTTTTTTTGAGACACGAGGACTTCAACCGGAGTATGTTTGACTTGGTGCAGTTGTTATTGGAACGTTCTGGTCTTGGCTATTCGTATTATGTTTTTAATCAAAACAATGGCAAAATTCTCGAACGTGATTTGTTATCACTAGACGGCCGATTTGAGCACTAATAGGACAGTGTACGTGTCATGCTTGTAATTGGACAATGTAGTGGGACAGTTAAGGGGACAGTTAACGCGTCATGCCTGCGTGAGTAGACAGATAGCGTCATGTGTGTGCTGTTGTCTCGCATTTCGCCGAGTTAACTCATGTTTTGTTGTTTATATGAAAACGTATGTCTAGTTTCTTTCTCAAATTTTAACACAGTTTTGATTAATTGGTAACAGGACTTCTTGTCGTCCAATTCTGTCTGTAATGATAGTCGTGATTAACAATTCGGTCTCCCGCTTTGCGGCCCTACGATTTTGTTAATCACTCGTATGATTTCAGACCGAATTGGACTCCGCTCGGTTCTGTTACCACTATTAATATGTCCAAAATTCTATTTACATAGATGTCACCAGATCATTTAGGTTTGTTTTATTTTAGGAGGTTGGCTTCTGGTGTCAAATGTTGAGTTCGGCAGCCCCTCTTCTAAGGTGTCAGTTGAGACATCATACCGTGGGATAGGTAAGTCACACATGGTTCTGCAGAAACGTGCCATGAAAGAGCTCAGAAGACACTTGTCCTTCACTCAGCTGAGATTCCACTGCCACAAGAAACAGGGACGCACATTCCACGTGGTCACAGCTTCCAACAGCTCAGGTGAAGCTGTGGTCCAGTACTTCAGCGGTCAGACAGATGAGCAACCGGATGCCTGTGGTTCGTTTGTGAGATTGAAGTTGGATGACAATTCCAAGTTAGCTGACATTTGCAAAGATTGGGGACAAGTAAGTGGAGAGTACTTTGTTGGAAAGTGGGGACATGGTGAAGATCAAAGCAGGCTATACTGATATCCCGCATTCAAAGTACATGCGTATCACCTTAGGGTCCACTTGAATAACGTAGGTGACCTCAATGTAATGCAATGCGATGATGTTGCCTCTCAGACCGTTAACACAATCGGCGATTTCTGGAGAGTATTTGTTCGTTAGTTGCGTTTAACTCAGAGCTGTCTGTACACCGGGCAACCCTGGACTGTGCGAATAACAGTAACATACGAATAAAGCAAAATAAAGACAAATGAACTGTTACCTTCATCAGGTTATGAGAATCTTTTTTGTTTCCATTTCGGGGCAAGGGAAAGCAGTCCTCACTGTTTCCCGTGGGGCCAGTTTGAAAATATTTTCTAATACATCCCAACTCGAATACGAATGGCAAAAATTACTTTTGGTACGTAGGCTGGCATACACATTTGCTGCGGTTTCACGGTGAACGACCTTAGCACGCGAGAGTTGAAAGATAAAGTTGTTGTTTTTTCGGGGGCTTAGTGAATTTTGTTCACCCTAAAAAGTTAGTGTATTTTGATTCACGGCGTGTGACATATTCAACCATCCAATCAAAAAACCTATTTGAGTTGCGAGGTACATAACGATTAAATTTTCACAACTGCTTCCTTCTAAATAAAGGTTGAACTAGTGACCACGTCAACCTCAGTGTTAAGTTCAAGAATTCTAAACATAATTGGCTAGTTGATCGGATCGCGAGCGTCGCGCGTGAATACTAACAATTCCAAAGTTCAGAGTTTCACACAAGTCAAGAACGATACTATGCTTTTAGCACCCATAAGCTACTTTTACTTCAGGTTTTCAGTCGACTAAAATCTCGATATCAGCAACGTCATGTGCCTTTTGGAAGAAACTTTTGCCGTTGTGGCGGACCGGAGTAGGTTATATAAGAGCTCTTTTCATACCGCGTGCAGTGTACAATTAGGAGGCTACAATAGTCGGGATTCCATACAAAGGGGGTTCTCCTATCATATCGAAGGTCTCTGTGTCAGAAGGTCCACTCACTCACACGAGCGACAATCTCGCTAAGAGGTCGAGACTGGACATTGCTTGTTTAAAGATCAGTGGTATCTATGTTCTCTCAGTGATGCAATGCCGATGCCTCGCGTGCAGATTTGCTCGATTGTTCATGACAAAATACCGTAAACGAATAATAGCTATAACTCATGTTTGTTGTATTTAGCTAATTGTCGAGAGAGGATTTGTCCGTTCATTTTTCTAGTTTTTAATTTAATCCTTACTGGCCTTACGCCTAGCCATGATAAGAATTCTCAATTTTACTACCTCGGTAAAATAAATGACAAAAATACAGATAAAATGCATCATTTTACGCGACAGCGCACTTACCGTCTAGACAGTCAGAACTATTGCTAGGAAACGTGATAACGCGATTTCTTGTTTAAAGACGACGAAACTACAACTAAAGTAGTAACTTTTTAAAACTATTTAGTTAAAAACTACATAGTTACAAATAGTTTATAGTTAAAACTGGTGTACTTTAAATGGAGAATTCTTGCCATGGTTACGTGTGACCATGGTAAGAATTCTCCATTTTACTCCCTCAAGACAAAATAAGAATCTGAAACAAAAGGATGACAAAAATACAGATAAAATGCATCATTTTGCGCAATGGCACATTTAAAGTCTAGACAGTCAGAACCATAGCTAGGAAACGTAATAAAGCGATCCATTGTTTTTAAGACGGCGAAACTACAGCTAGAAGGCTTCTAAAAACTATTAAAACTATGGGGTTGTGACGTAAGACCCAACATAGACTGTTCCATTTCAAGCTTTACTTGTCCATTTCACCTTTGTATTTTTGGCGGTTACGGCGAAAACCATCTGCTGTAACACTGAACCATTTCGGTTTGTACTAAACCTATTGTCGTCACGCTAAACCATTTCGCTTTTCGGTGAGTAGATTGATGCGATACTGAGCCATTGCGGCCTACTATCAACCATTTGCCGATAGCTTTAGCCATTTCACACTACTCTGAGCTGTTTGTGTCAAGTCACTGAACCAAAGTACAGTTAGCTGAACCGTTTGTCATTTCGACACTGAGTTGAGTAACTTTTGCAAGCCAGCGGACAAGTTTTAATCCTTAGCAGGGAAGGTTCCTTTACATGAGCTGGTAGTTTAAAAAGCCCTCCGTATTCTTTCGCCGAGTCAGACAAAGTAAAATTAACAAAACCCTAAATTCACAATCAGAACTATTTGTTACATCAATAAAGGGAAAGCGCGACATTTATCATCTGTTTTTCTTTCTTTCTCAAATTACAGGATGAGAGGGCATCTAGTTAGTTTCCAGTTCTGTCCCATTCTGTTGAGTGGTGTTGCTGTATTTCTTGTGGCTTTCAGTTCGTCTTTGCACACTGAGGTGTTGACTCGCCAAATCAATGTAGTATAACTTACTGACGTCGAACGATTTTGGCTGTGTCACGATAAAACTTTACATGATCCCCTCTCCCCTCAATAAGGCTCTGTAACAATCTTACAATCCCCCTCCCCTCAATAAAACTCTGTAACAATCTTACAATACCCCTCTTTGGCAGTCAATTTTCTACACCTTTCTCTTTATACTCTGTTAGCCACAACAAATCCTCCTAATAATCTCTACAAGCAACTCTCATAACTCCTAGGGCTTCTTCATATGATGACTTCTTATGACAGGGTAACCAACTACACACAAACTGTATTATGAAAGTATCCAAAGTAAATTGTATAATAATAAAATGAAACACGATTGTTTTTCCAGGATTTGAGCTAATTGGTTCACCAAGACATTATACGCTGAAGAAATGACCTGTGGATTGAGATGCCTTCAAGATGAATAATGCCAATCTTACAACAGCAAATCCGATGCTAATAATGCAAAGAAGGAATGTCAACTGAGTAACCGAACTGAAAAATCAAGTCCAGAAAACTTGAGACGTAACCCACGTTCTACTTATTATGGAAGAAGTACCGTTAATTAAGGTGCTTAACCTTAGGAACAAGTCATATTTTTATCGTCCTGGGCGGAGGGGGAGAAGAGGGGGAGGGAAAGGTCGGAGCATTTTGGTTGTCACAATAAATCGAGTTGGTCAATTTTCTTTAGTCCCACCTTTAAACTCTGTCAGCGACGACTGATCTCCTCTCCGTTCCCTTTGAAAACCAGGATACCCCCCTCCCCCCGCAAGACCCTCCTACCCCTCCCACCCCCTTTTACCTAGCGAAAAATGGTGACGTATTCCTTACTTCTACTAAGCGCTTTTCAGAGAATATAAAGTTTATATTTCTGTTCATCGGGCCTTCTCCTGTAAGGAAATTCTGGACTCTGGACACTCCAAATGAGACGGGGAGCATTGGATCGACTCCGAGAAGAGTGGAAACCCTTTGAGGGTCTATTGTGACTTGTCAAGATATGGTAATAAGAGAGTAAGTTTTTTTCTAGAGACAGAAGGACTTAAACCGGAGTATGTTTGACTTGGAGCAGTTTCTATTGGAACATTCTGGTCTCGTGCTTTCTCTACCAAGATCCTTATTATGTTTTTTAATCGAAACTGTAACAAAATTCTCCAACGCGATTGGTTTTCACCATCCGGCCGATTTGAGCACAACAAGACAGTATACGCGTCATACTTGTAATTGGACAGTGTAATAGGACAGTTAAATGGACCTTTAACATGTCATGCCTGTATGAGGGGACAGAACGCGTCATGTGCGCGCGCTGTTGTCTCACATTTCGCCGAAAAAACTGTTTTTTTTGGTTATTCTGAAAACGTATAACCAATGTCTGGTTTCTTTCCCAAATTTCGTCATAGTTTTGATTAATTGGTAACAGGCCTTCTTGTCGCCCAATTCTGTCTGAAATCAAACTCGTGATTAACAAATCGGACTCCCGCTTTGCGGCTTTGCACTACAAACAGCTTGTTTTCCTTTTATTCATTGGCATTTTCCAAGTGTACAACAACGCATTCACCGGAGTCAGGAACACACAAAAACATGTATGGTACAACAGATATACCAACACACTGTGAGTCATAAATGTACGAGTTAGAACGTGAGAAGGAATCCTGTCAGTTTCATCACTGATGAAAACTTTTAACCCTGAAATTTCATCTTGTAGTTCTTTCAGTTTTCACTAGCCGAATTTAGCTTTGTTTGGTGGGAAAAAGTTACTATGTATCCTGAATGCCACTGATTGATACTCATAAAAAACTGGGTACAGGAGAAACGAAATCCGGATAATTAAGACAATCCGAGTAATCTAGGTTTGTTTCTAGTTAAATTCCCCCACGCTTTACTCGAATGTAAGGAAACGCTAGCCCCAAGTCGTGATCAGTACTTCGTGCAAAGTTGACTGATGCATAATTTATGTATGGGTTCTTAAGCTGTTTCTATTTATTTCTTTTAATCATTGTCTCAAAGTTCATTGAAATTGTATGAAAAGTTGACAAAAGAGTTTTTCAATACAAAAATAAGGAGTGGAAGGAAACTGAGGGTAAGAATATACTGGTTTCAAGACGATTGCTCTCTAACTTTGATAACAACATAAATCTTGAATAGTCAGCCACTTCGATAAATACGTTTGAGTGAGAAGTATATATACAAAAGACCTTTACTACCGCATAAACGTGAGAAGAAAAGTCGAGGAAAAGTAAGAAACAGAAGGTAAGTTTGATTGAGAAACTGGATGTATTTACTTACTATCGGGTGAGTAACTTGTGCAAGCCAGCGGACAAGTTTTCATTCTTCGCAGGGATGATTCCTTTATATTACTTGGTTGTTTAAAAAGCCCTCGCATTCTTTCGCCGACTCAGACAAAGTGTAATGGACAGAACCCTTAACTCATAAAACTATTTGCTGCGTCTAAGAAGCTTAAGGCAAAAGAACGAAATCCGTCATCTGCTTTTCTTTCTTTCTCAAATTACAGGATGAGAGGGCTTCTAGTTGGTTTCCATTTCTGTCCCGTTCTGTTGAGTGATGTTGCTTTGTTTCTTGTGGCTTTCAGTACGTCTTTGCA